AAAGAAGGAGTATTTAACTCAGGAAAAATAATGAGCTGTGAAAACACTAGGCTGTGCTAGTGCCTTTTAAATCAATTTGCAAATCACTGTTTTCAAGAACACAAACACCCTGGCTTTTATAAGCCAGGAACAACAGCATTAATTAAAAGAGCACAGCGTTCTAAACTGCCACCTACTGGATGCAAATATCTAACACAGATTCCCCTTTTTATATCGATTTTCTGAAGCTTTTTTTATCTCAAAATATCTCAAAGCTGTTTATTTGCTTGGCTTAATTAACTGAGCCCAGTCTTAGAAAAGTCAGCGTCGTCATTTTCTTTTCATAGTTGCAGAACCACATACAGATAGTCCTGGACTTACAAACCAGTTGTTTTAACAACAATACAAAGTGATGACGGCAGTGAAAAAAAATGGCCTTTTGATTGGCACTTATGAACATTACATCATCCCGATAATCACATGATCAACATTTTGGCACTTGGCAACCAGCATATACTTACAATGGTTGCTGAGTCCTGGGATCACATGATTCCTCATTTGTGACCTTCCCAGGGGGCCTCTAACAAGCGAAGTCAATGTGCGGGGGAACTGGATTTGCTTAAGGACCACAATAATTTAGTTAATGGCAGCAACAAAGAAAAGGTAATTAAATCTGGCATGATTCACTTAATCACTGCATTGCTTCCCAATGCAAGTTCCAATTCCAGTTGTTGTTGCAGGTCAAGGACTACCTGTAGATATCTAGAGCTACTTTTTTTCTGGGCAGGCAGAAATCCTGCAGGTTCAGATCTTTCCAACCTGGTGGTTCAGAGATGGAGCACCAGTGAGATGGTAGCTGCTACCTTAGAACAGAGGGCAGAGTTGGTGTTGTCGATTTTGCAATGTGTTTAGAAAAAGCCTTAAGCGGCTATAGGTAGTCCTTGACTTACAACCATTCTGTCATGCCCCTGTTGGAATCTGATTCCGAAGGGGAGGTTGAGCAGCTGACAGGGAGTGGGAGTGTGGCTCCAGTGGCTGTGGAGGAAACTGGGGAAGGGCACAGTCCGGCTGGGCATTCAGAGGAAGACCCAGGGCCACCCCCTCTTCATCCTAGGGCATGCAGGGAGGAATGGAGAAGGGAGCAATGTGAGTTACATGGGATATGGGGGAGAAAAGGGCCCTGATTCCCTTCATTAGCTACAGCTGGGGAAACAGGATTTAAAAAGGGCGTTTGTGCACAGTTCCTTGCTGGAAGCAAAGCGTGAATTATCTTTGTTTGTCAAGTCTTATCTGGGTTCTGGCACCCTCCCAACTGTGAGTGTTTCGTTATCTTTTGAAGTCTGCAATTCCTTATCCTGCCCTGTCTTGTTAATTGCTGCAGTATGGTTTGTGTTGGTTTTTATTTATAATTTATATGTACTTTGGGTTCAGACTGAATTTTTTCCCTTTAAAAACTGTTCTTGGGAGAGTTTTTTTTTTTCTCCAGCTAATGATAACTGGACTTTGGGGGCCAAGTTGGAGGTATTAATGGGACTTTACCTACTTTTTTTGTTCCTTTTGTGCCACGCCCCAGGTCATCACACATTCATTTAGTGACCGTTCAAAGTTACAACAGCACTGAATAAAGCGACTTATGATCATTTATCACAGTTACAACTGTTGCAGCATCCCCCATGGTCATGTGATCAAAATTCAGGCGCTTGGCAGCTGACACACATTTATAACGGTTGCTGTGTCCCAGAGGTCATTGTGATCCCTTCTTGCAATTTTCTAGCAAGTAAAGTCAAGGGGGAAACCCAGATTCACTTAACAACCAGGTTACTAAGTGAACAACTACAGTGATTCACTTAACAACTGCAGCAAGAAAGGTCAATAAAATGGGACAAAACTCACTTAACAAATGTCTCGCTTAACAACATTAATTTGGGCTCAATTATGGTCGTAAGTCAAGGACTACCTGTATTGCCTAGGTGTGTTTTGTGCTTTCTTCCTCCTTCCTGTCCTTCTGAGCTAGCTTTTTCCAAATGGAGTGGGACTAGAGTTCTCCATATCCCAAACCACCATAGTATTGTTCCCACGAAATTCTGGGAATTTAATTCAAAGGCACTCACGCTGGACTCAGTTTAAATGGTGGAAATCAAACTTAACATGAATAGCTTGTCTCGTAGTTTAATCAGGGTTTGTGGATTAAATTGCAATTGGAAAGGCTCACACATGTGAAGCCGTTTATCATTCAATTTCAAAAAATGTGTCTCATTTCTCCAGTTACAAAATGATCGTTTTGTATCAGATGGGTTTTTTTTAATGTTACATACAAAGCATGCATTTAACAGTGGTTCTGAAGTCTGGGGGAGGCACCAGAGGTGGCATTCAGCAGGTTCTGATCAGTTCTGGAGAACCAGTAATGGAACTTTTGAGTAGTTCAGAGAACCAGCCAATACCACCTCCGACTGGCCCCGCCCCATCTATTCTCTGCCTCCCGAGTCCCAGCTGATCGGCTGGGTCTTCTTTGGTTGCCCTGCACAGGAGAATGGAGCTGGAAAGCAGGTTAGTGGGGTGGGGAGGGAAGGGGGATTTTGCAGTATCCTTCCCCTGCCACACCCACCAAGCCACGCCTACCAAGCTACACCCACAGAACCAGTAGTAAAATAATTTGAATCCCACCATTGAAGTAGACCCACCAATAAAGTGGATCCTAGAACAGGAATAGAAAGAGGCTACCAGAAAGAAGAGAATGCAAAAGGATTCATTGTGAGACAATGGCTTGATTACACCCCATTCCAGATAGATCTTTCAATTCATTCATTGATCATCACCCTGCTTTTTCATCCCTCCAGTTGGGTTGTTATAACCCCAATAATTTCCACCAAGGAGGATGGTAAAAGTAAAAAAGGAGCCTGTATGAATTTTACTTCACTAGTCATTGCCAACTATAGGGGGCAGTGCTGATCTCCATTTCAGGGCCATTGAGCCAACGGTGTCCACGCAGTCATGTGGCCAGCATGACATCACGGAGCGCTGTTACCTTCCCACTGAAGTGGTACCTATTTATCTAATCGTGTTTGCAATCCTAAATTGCATTAACAGAGGGATTCAATCAAGATCACATGAGGTACTCATACAACTCTATAAAGACCACACCTAGAATACTGTATCCAGTTTTGGTCACCACACTACAAAGAAGATGTTGAGCCTCTAGAAAGAGTGCAGAGAAGAGCAACCAAGGTGATTAGGGGACTGGAGACTAAAACATATGATGAACGGTTGCAGGAACTGGGCTGGGCTAGTCTAGGAAGAGAAGGACCAGGGGAGACATGATAGCAGCCTTCCAATATTTGAGGGGCTGCCACAGAGAGGAAGGGGTCATGCTATTTTCCAAAGCACCCTAAGGCCAGACAAGGAATAATGGATGGAAACTGAACAAGGAGAGATTCAACCTAGAAATAAAGAGAAATTTTCTGACACTTAGAACAATCAACCAATGGAACTTCGTGCCTTCAGAAGTTGTGGGAGCTTCATCACTGGAAGTTTTCAAGAAGAGACTGGACTGCCATTTGCCAGAAATGGTGCAGGATCTCCTGCTTGGGTGGGGGGTTGGACTAGATGACCTACAAGGTTCTATTTTATTCTAGGTTGCAGGAGCTGGGGCAAGAATGAGAGTTCACCCAATCGTGTGGCGCTCGGGTCTCGAATCTAGGTTGCCAGCTTTCCATCCAATAAGTCCAACTTCTTACCACCCAGCCAGCTTCTCAAGGTGGATGAAGACACAGATTTTTGTGCTACTGTACAGTACAACTGTCTTGAGAAGCAGTGTAGGAAGAGTATTGATAGCATTACACTGGTGTTGGAGAGGACTCTGAAAAATATCCTGGACAGTCAAGAAAACAAAATGATGAATCATCAAACAAAACAATTCAGGTTTCCTGCTTGAGGCACACATGACCAAGGTCAAATCATGGTACTTCAAACAGGTTGTGTGAAGATCCAACTCTTGAAAAATGGCCCAGTGGGGTGTTAAGGTGGAAGGAAAAAGGACAACAGCAGCAAAGTGGGTGCACTCAGTTACAATGCCCCAAAGGTGCTTTTTCCAAAAGGCAACCGGACTTGCTTTGTTTTTCCTTGAAAACATTTCTCACCCGCGAAGTTTCTTCTGTTCAGAACTGGAGAAACTTCTTGGATGAGAAGCAAAACATGTTCAAGGAAAAACAAAGAAAATCCAGTTGCCTTTGGAAAAAGCACTCTAGGGAGAACCATGACCTGGATAACTGAGAATCTCCATATAAACTAGTGATGACAAGGGCCCTGTTGGAAAGCTTTGAAAACCAGGGATTACCTCGAAGCAAACTTTTCTGTCTAGGTGGTTCTGAGGATTGAGAACAACTTGATGGAACATAATCAATCAATCAATCGCTTCCTTGCGATCTCTTGCCCTGCTGGAGGGCTCCAGACCTTGGAAGTCTGCTTTGAAAACTTTTCCATAAAAGTATTTATTTTGTTTTTTTGTTTGTTTGCATGTCCGCCAGCTTCGGAATTCCCCCAAGCGCTGTTGCCAAGGCTCTTACACAGAGGTCTCCCAAGTTAGCAACTTTAAGATTTATGGATTTCAACTCCCAGGATTTCCACCAAGGGGGATGATAAAGGTAAAAATTCTGGGAGTTCAAGTCCACAAGTCTTAAAGTCGCCAAGTTTGGGGACCCCCTGTTCTTATAGGTGAGTGGGCTCTCCGCCAGAATTCCGAATCGGAGAGGCGACGCCTCAGATGAGATTCCTCTGTGCCGTCGAGCATGCACAGAGTTCCTTCCGGAACCTCTCCCTCACTGCAAGATATGCTGATCTTTCTCGCTGCCCTGACAGTGCCCCGAGGGCAACCGAGCGCCCGCGATGGTCGGCGGCGCTGCTTCCAACCCCCCCCCCCCACCTCCCCGCCGCCCCAATCCTATCCCCGAGAGGGCTCGCCTGCCTTCCGGAGCGGCGTGTCCTTCCAGGCAGATCGTGCGTCACGTGGCCCAGGTAAAGGAGGGAGGGGCCCCAGACGCGGTTCACCTGGCTGGGCAGGTAATGCCAAGGCGGGGCTGGGGGGCAACGATTTCCCAGGAGGTGGAGGGGGGAGAGAGAAAGGCGACCCTCGGTGTCGGGGAAAGGTGAGCTCGTTCCCTCCCCAGGGAGACTCCGGAGCGGCTGGAGGCCTTCCGCCAGGAAGTCGAGGGCAGGCCTGGCCCAGGTAGCGTTTGGGGTGACACTTCCCCCTTGGATGCTTCGCTCCCTTCCTCCGCCTGTGCAGCATTCCCACCCCCGGCTCAGTTTTTGGGGGACTCTTCCGTCGCTGCCCTTCTCCCCCCCACCCCACCCCCACCCCCGGAAGATCCCTCTGGGCAGGAGATCGGAGGCCAGGCCAACTCCGAAGGGCTCGGCCAGCGAAAGTTTGACATTTGCACCGCCGAGGGCTGCCGGCGCTGCGGACCAGGTAAACTCTTGTGTTTTGTCTTGTCTTGTGTAAAACTCAAGAAATGTTTTCAGCCCTCGCCTCCACCACCCCGCCAAAAAAATAAAAATAAAAATCCCTAAATTCGACGTCCTAAAGTCGGTTTGATCCCACGGCAGGCTTTCTATCTAATGAATAGGATAGGTTGCATTCTTACCTGTAGACAGTTTGTTGGGATCTAGGAGTTTAGCTACTCCGGGAATGGTGATGTACCCCCCAAAAAAGGGAAAGGGGGGAACGGTTCGACAGGCAGTTTAGTCTTGACAGGGAAAAATAAACAGCCCCCCCCTTTTTTTTCCTGTCCAGATGTTTTGGACTTCAACTCCCAGAAGCCCCAACCAGCAGGGCCAGCAGCAAGGGTAGGGGTTATAGTTCGAAAAATCTGGAAGTCACGCAGTTGCCTTTCTTTCACAAGGCTGAGGTGCCTCTCAGGCCATTTCTTCAGAAGGGCTTCATTTGCATGTTTGATTAATGAATGTTATTGATTTGAAAGTTTAGCTAATCTGATGGAAGACTGTCTGCACACAGCTCTTCATAATGCTACAGGTCAGGCCAGATTATCAACACTCTGTAATATACTGTATGTATCCACCCACTTTCTTTTCAACCAGTGACTGGAACTTGATTTGAACCTTAAGTAGACCCCCACCTATACGTTTACAAGAGACTTCCTCAATAGAAAAGCCAGCTACTCAATCTTGTCTTTCCATTCAGCAGAGTCCTGTATTAAAAGAGTTCAAATAATATATTCTTATTTTATTTACAAAGACAACATGACCAAAAAGAAGAGACACCTCTTCTCAAGTATTAGGTCATGGTTGATTATTGAGAAACATGGCTTTTTAATATTGGAAAAGTTGTGTGTGTCTTTTAGTAGGAGTAATAGGGGAATCAGAAGTATGATTGGGAAGTAACAGGAAATTAGTGATGGGTGGGGGCAATTCCCACAGGGAGTTTGTTAAAATGACACATAAGTCCATTCAAGTGATTTGGGAAAGGTTTGCAAATGTGAGCCAACTCAGATTTGTTCAACACAATATTGGTAAGTCACCTGTTTGTGTTCTAATGCAGAATATTAGCATGGAGGTTTATTATTCTTGGCTGTTATGCTTTGGACTTAACCTTTTAACCATATTAAGTGTTGTGTTACATAATGAAGCCTTATATCAGCCTCTTATGAAGTATTATTCTCAATGCACCTCCAACTTGTGAATGTACTCATTCCTTTCCTGTACAAAGAAATGAGATATTTATAGGACTATTCTACAAGAAGGAAAAAATCATGAATTTGTTCATCAGTTCACAGTATGAAAATAAATGTACTGCTGCCATCTAACACATTTTAATATGTTAGCCAGTCTGTAGCAAAAGCTTACAAAATATTAAATCCTATTAAAAATTTGGAAGCTATTGCCAGTCAATACTTTAATCCAAACAGACTATATAATGATTTAGTGTGATCCATGATTCTATTACATTTATATTTTATTATGAAATTTATTTCCTGCCCATCTCATATATAATGACCCTTGGGGGCTTACAACATAAAACATATATTTATATATTTGGTATGACCTAGAAAATATGGATTTATCAACGTTTCTTGATTAAAATGACCCAAACTCTGGAAAAGGGTTGACATTTGCAATTCTTTACCATGAAATCAACTGGACTAGAGCATTACTTCTCAAATAGATTTTCTCCTGGTCCGCTTTATTTGTTTGTATCCTACCTTTATTACTTTTACAAATAACTCAAGGTAGAAAACATATCCAAATAGGAGCTTTTTCCTCCTATTGTTCCCAAAACAACAATCCAGTGAGGTGAGCTGGGTTAGGGTTGGTGTGTGACTGGCCCAAGTCACCCAGCTGGGTTTCACGCCTAAAGCAGGATTAGAACTCATGTCTCCTGGTGATTGGCTCAAAGTCACCCAGCTGGCTTTTGTGGATAAGGTGGAGCTAGAATTCCCGGTCTTCTACTTTCTAGTCTGGTGCCAAACTGCACAATTTTGCATTCATCTAACTCAGGGATCCCCAAAGTTGGCAACTTTAAGACTTGTGGACTTCAACTCCCAGAATTGAAGTTGAAGTCCACAAGTCTTAAAGTTGCCAAGTTTGGAGATCTCTAACTAAAGGAAACCTAAGCCTTATTCGTGAATAGTTTGGTAACATCCACATTTTATTAATAGATTATTATATCACCTGAGCTTTGTTGCCTGTGTGCACACACGTTGAGCCTTGATGCAAAATGCTGATTGTCTTTAAAGCCTTCTCAACTTGAATGCGGCTATCAGACAGACCCCCCCCCACTTCCCCGAATTTTCCTCTGCAGGAGATTAAGCTAGCTCCCATTTCACGTTAAGCCATCGTTTCATCTCATGTAGCACATATGGAAATTCAGCCACCGTGGTTGCCAAACCATAATTATTGACTTAGTATGCAAGTGTGAAATTTGGCCTGTGTAAACCAGGACGCTAACTGATTTAACGTGCAGGATTAAAAGGAAAACCTGTGGCTGGATGTAAGAGCTGAACATGGCCCAAACAGCTTGTTCGGATGTGTTCACTTGTTTGGTGTCCTCAGATTGAGCTGTGATTGCTCTCACGCCACTAGTATAGAAATAACATTCAGTTGGCACCGCCAAGCAGCTTTTCTGTGTGTGTGTGTGTGTGTGTGTGTGTGTGTGTGTGTGTGTGTGTGTAGAAGGTGAAGAGTGAACCAGCTGGTCAGTGGTGGGGTTCAAAAAATTTTTACTACCAGTTCTGTGGGTGTGGCTTGGTGGGCATGGTGTGGCTTGGTAGGCGTGGCAAGGGGAAGGATACTGCAAAATCTCCATTCCCTCCCCACCCCACTAACCTGCTTTCCAGCTCCATTCTCCTGTGCAGGGCAACCAAAGAAGACCCAGCCAATCAGCTGGGACTCAATGGGAGGCGGAGAAGAGACGGGGGCAGGGCCAGTCAGAGGTGGGATTTGCCGGTTCTCCGAACTACTCAAAATTTCTGCTACTGGTTCTCCAGAACTGGTCAGAACCTGCTGAATATCACCTCTGCAGCTGGTCCTTCATGTCTTGGGAAAGCAATGAAAATGTTTCTAAACTGAAATTACGGTATTTCAGTTAATTCACTGTTGTTTAGCTCTGGTGCAAGAATTTTCTTCTTTGCCTCCTACATATGCAGGCTTGCATAATGGCCCGTTTCAAGCAGCATACATAACCCCGTCAACAGCATGCAATTGGTATGTCCAGATAATGTGCTAACCCTTACAGATATTCCTCAACTTACGACCACAATTGGAACTTCAACTTCCACCACTAAGTGAGTCATCATATGACCATGTCTGATTTTATATGACTTTGTTTGCCGCAGTTGTTAAGCAAATTACGTGACTCTGTCTACTGACTTTGCTTGTTGGGAGGGTCCTGGGACGGTCACAAATGTTGATCGTATGACCCTGGTAAACTGGAACCATCAGAAATACATGCTGGTTGCCAAGCACCCACATTTTGATCATGTGAGTGCAGGAAAACTTTGATCATAAGTGGGTGGATGAGTAAATAAGTCACTTTTTTTTAGCACCGTCATAAATTTAAATGATCCTTAAGTAGGTTGTTTATGGTTGAGGACTGCCTGTAGTTAACATGATGGCCTGGATCCCATAGCATGCTAAGATAATGCCTGTGTGTTGTCACAATGCTCTGAATCCACAAAGGATTAGGATCAACCTAGTTTGGCATATTGTGTGAATGTAGTCACTGCAGTTATATCACTAGTTTTGGAGATTATTTAGAAAATGGGAAATGTTTCAGAGTATAGTCTGATAGTGCTTTAAACCTACATGGTTGCTTAACTCTGCACCTCTATTAAATGTGCCCTTGGAGGATCAGGGTATTTGCTTAACTATTACTTTTTAACTGCCTCTGTCTGTAGGTGTTTTGCAGGCTGCTAGGTTCTTTGGATGCCCAAGTGACAAATATATTTTAAAATATCTCTCTTGCACTCCCCTTCCTGCCTCCAGATCAGGTTCTGTTGCCCTTTCACACAGTGCTGGAGGTATATGGCCCATAGTTCAGGAAAAGCAAGACAAAATACAACTGAGCAATAGGTAATGACTTGTGTGTGTATGTGTGTGTTTTATGTGCGTGTGTGTGTATAGAAAATCATCTCTGCAGTGGTGGTAGCTTTGGCAATCGATGTTGGAAGTGATTAAAAGGAGATGAGTGGATCAAATCTTCACTCTCCCCCAGAGAGCATTGCATTGCTATCATATAAGTGAGCCCTGTTTGAGCAGTGGTTAGAATGCAGTATTGCAAGCTAACTCTGCCCACAGCCAGGAGTTCGATCCTGACAGGTCTCAGGGTTGACTCAGCCTTCCATCCTTCCTTCCAAGGCCAGTAAAATAAGAACTCAGATTGTTGGGGGCAATTTGTTGACATTGTAAATTGCCCAGAGAGTGCTGTAAAGCAGTGGTTGCCAACTGGTGGGCTACAGACCACTGGTGGCTGCAAGAAAATTTTGGTGGTCTGTAGAGAAATGTCACCCCCAAAGCACTGTCCAAAGCAATTTATCCAAGCTGTGTGGGAACACAAGGCTGCGTCCCCCACATGGCCCCCAGGAACACAAGGCTTCTGTCCCTTGCATTGCAAACAACACGAAGTAGTGAGGGGAGGGGGGAAAGGGCAGAGGGGGGAACTTGCCCCACATGCCTGGACTGGCCACCAGGCTGCTTCTTTCAACTTCTTTCTTCTTCTGCTTATGGCTGCATGCAAGGAAAGCAGCAAAAGTCTTTCTTTCTCTCCCCCAAACTCCACCAGAAATGAGTCTTTGGGACCCTGCAAGGCATCCAGCTCCAAGAGGCTGCACCAGCAAAGACTCATTTCTGGCGGAGTTTGGGGGAGAGAAATAAAGACTTTTGCTGCTTCTGCTGCTTTCCTTGCACGAAGCCAAAAGTCAGTCAGTCTCTCTCTCTCTCTCTCTCTCTCTCTCTCTCCCCCTGAGAACAGAGCTGGAGATGGTATCCTGTGATCCCAAATAAAGAATGATCAATTTGCAGACAGAGACCCTGGGAAAATCCCAGAGACCCTGGGAAAATCCCCCCAAAAGTCTGCTGGAAAATCCCTCACCCGGTTTTCCTACCAATTGATCGTTCTTTATTTGGGATCTCAGGATACCCTCCCCCCCACTCCCCGAGAACGGAGCTGAAAAGCAGGTTAGTGAAGGAATGTGGCTGCCTTGGAGGGGGGTGGGGGTGTGAGGTACGTGTATGTGTGTGTGTGTGTGTGTGTGTGTGTGTGTGAAGGAGGGAGGCAGGGAGAGGGGGGGGAGAGAGAGAGAGAGAGAACATCACTGCCAGCCCTCCGAGGTTAGATTGGATCTCTCTCTCTCCCACCAACGTGGGAGCCACTGTCAGTCAAAATTCATATTAGTTGTCAGCAGAATTTAAAATTATGAGTTTCGTGTTCCCTGGGGTCCACAAGGTTGGCCACCCCTGGTATAAATGATACCCCTCTGCTATTACCTGGATCTTGACTATCAATCAGAATTGCTCTTACAGGTCAACTTACAAGCCATTCATTTAGTGTCCGAAGTTATAACAGCACTAAAAAAAAGTGAATTATGACTAGTCCTCACACTTATGACCATCACAGCATCCCTATTGTTTCATGATCAGAGTTGACAACACTTGTCAACCAGTATATACTTACAACGGTTGCAGGGTCCCTGCAACGGTTGTCATCACCATTTGTGATTTTCCCAGCCTGCTTCTGACAAACAAAATCAATGAGGGAAGCTAGAATCACTTAACAACTGCACGATTCCCTTAACAACTATGGCAAAAAAAGGTCATAAAGTCAGGCACCATTCCCTTAACAAATGCATTGCTTAACAACAGAAATTCTGGTTCCAGTTATGGTCTTAGCTTGAGAACTACCTCTATTGAGTTACCTTACATGTTTCAAACTATCCCATGTGTTGTTCTTCAGCACAGGGGTCGCCAACCTTTTGGACCTCAGGGACCACCAAACTCCTAATTTTAAATCTCGCGGAGCAGAAACCCTGGGAAAAATTGCCCATCCCGTTTTCCTATCGATCAATCATTCTTTATTTGGGATTGCAGGATACCATCTCCAGCTCCGTTTTCGGGGGGGAGAGAGAGAGAGAGAAACTTTTGGCTTCATGCAAGGAAAGCAGCAGAAGCAGCAGAAGTCTTTCTTTCTCTCCCCCAAACTCCGCCAGAAATGAGTCTTTGTGAGACTTGTTGCACCAGCGCAGCCTCTTGGAGCAGGAGGCCTTGCAGGGTCCCAAAGACTCATTTCTGGCGGAGTTGGGGGGAGAGAAAGAAAGACTTTTGCTGCTTTCCCTGCGTGCAGCCAAAAGCAGAAGAAGAAAGAAGCAGCCCAGTGGCCAGGCAAAATGCGTGGGGCGAGTGGGGCAAGTTTCCCCCCTCACTACCTTGTGTTGTTCGCAATGCAAGCGACACAAGCCTTGTGTTCCCGCAGGCTATGTGGGCGGTGCAGCCTTGTGTTCCCACGCTACCTGGATTAATTGCTTTGGGGACAACAGTTCTCTGCGGACCACCAGTGGTCCTCCAGCCCACTGGGTGGCAACCACTGCTTTAGCATATACCTGTACAGGCAGTCCTCAACTTACAACAGTTCATTTAGTGACTGTTCAAAGTTACAACAGCAGTGAAAAAAGTATCGTACGACCATTTTACACACTACCGATCTTTGCAGCATCCCCATGGTCACATGATCAAAATCCGGACGCTTGGCAATGGGCTCAAATTTATGAAGGCTGCAGTGTCCCAGGGTCATTTGTGACCTTCGGATCAGCAAAGCCAATGGGAGAAGCCACGCTAACTTAACAACCGTGTTACTAACGTAACAACTGCAGTGATTCACTGAAGAATTGTGGCAAGAAAGATTGTGAAATGAGGCAAAACTCAGCAACTGTCTCACTTAGCAACAGAAATTTGAGCTCAATTGGGGTCGTAAATTGAGTCCCATTTGACTCCCCGACATGTACAATTGAGTAGCGCTAAGCTAAACTTTCCCAGCTACTCTGAAGCGAGAGAAGGATTCTCCGCACATGGGCGGAGGAAGGTTGAGCATAACAAGCTGTTAGTGTAGCCCCGAGCCAAGAATTGGCCTTACGTCACAACAATCCAGTTTTTCTTAATAACCTTCTGTTATCCACCTACATTTTTCAAAGAAGAAAATCCAACCATAAGAAAACATAACCTACGAATAAGGCAACACATAAACTTCCACATAAACACATGAACACATAAACGTATGCAACACATAAATTTCCCGATGGCCGTTGCTTTAAATCATCAATGTAACATTACAAAAGTTGGCTGTTTCACCCCTTCTCAACCTCTGAAATGACAACTTTTGGCAAGGATCTCTGACACAAGCAATGCAGATAAGGATGGAAGATGCAGATAAGGGTTGCTGGCTTTACGATCACTGAATTCCTTTCCTTTGCTTTTTTGACGATTTCAACCCTGTGGCCAGCTCTCCCATTTGATAGGATGAGGCAACTGCTTTCGGCAGAGAGTTTTGGCTGCCATAAAAGGGCAACAAATACCTTATTTACTTAATTTATTCTCTCTTTTTTTTTTACTGGCAGTAGGCAGGACATCCTTGTGAAAATGACTAATATTTTAGGCTATATACACTCTGCGGGGGGAAAGAAAATATGCTCTGCTCGGTTTGAAGCCACAAATTATTTCACTTGATGTTTTGCATGGAGCCATTTTCTTCTTGAATTTTTCTTAACTATCTCATATTTTTTTCTGTGAATAATCTCTGGTTTGTTTCCAGATAGAAACTGTGCTGAGTCAGAGCCTCTCCGCCAAATCATTATATGATTTAATTATGTTATTCTGTTAATTCTCTTTTCCTCCCGCCCTCCCTCTTCAAGCACAGGGTCTTCTGTCATGGAGGAAGCATTTCCATAGATCCTCAGTGATTCCATAAGAAGGCAAAGAAAAAGGTAAAATAACTCAGAAAACAGGAAGAAAATGTAGGTGTAATGAAATGTGAGAATGACCTTGGGAGGGAGAGCCAAGATTGGACATCTGGCATGTCTACAGAAGGAGAGGAAAGTGGGAAAAGGAGGAAAAAGGAAGAAATACTTAGAGTCCTGTGAGACACCTTGTGAGATAGACAAGAGAAGAACTAGAATAGAATAGAATTCTTTATTGGCCAAGTGTGATTGGACACACAAGGAATTTGTCTTGGTGCAAATGCTCTCAGTGTACATAAAAGAAAAGATACATTTGTCAAGAGTCAAGAATCATAATGTAGAACACTTAATAATAGTCATAGGGTACAATAAGCAATTGAATCATACTAGGAAACAGTCAATATAAATAGTAAGGATACAAGCAACAAAGTTAGTCATACAGTCACAGGTGGGAGGGGATGGGTGATAGGAACGATGATAAGATTAATAGTAATACAGATATATTAGTAAATAGTTGGACAGTGTTGAGGGAATTATTTGTTTAGCAGAGTGATGGTATTTGGGGAAAAACGGTCCTTGTGTCTAGTTGTTCTGGTGTGCAGTGCCCTATAGCATCATTTTGAGGGTAGGAGTTGAAACAGTTTACATCCAGGATGTGAGGGGTCTGTAAACATTTCCACAGCCCTCTTTTTGACTCATGCATCCAGTTTTGGTTGCCACCTTGCAAAAAAGATGTTGAGACTTTGGAAAAGTCTAATATGTTTAAAGGCCTGGAGACAAAAAACATATGAAGAACGGTTGCAGGAATTTGGTACGGCCGGTCTAGAGAAGAGAAGGACTGGGGGTGACATGATAGCGCTGTTCCAGTATTTGAGGAGCTGCCACAAAGAAGAGGGGGTCAACCTATTTTCCAAAGCATCAGAGAAGGCAAGACGAGAAAACCATGGATGGAAACTAATCGAGGAGAGAAGCAACCTGGAATAAGGAAGAAACTTCCTAACAGTGAGGACAATTAACCAGTGGAACAGCTTTGCCTTCAAAAGTTGTGGGGGCTTCATCACTGGAGGTTTTTAAGAAAAGACTGGACAGCCACCTGTCTGAAATAGTATAGGGTCTCCTGTTTGAGCAGGGGGCTGGACGAGAAGACCTCCAAGGTCTCTTCCAGCTTATCTCTTAGAAGGGAGCAATACAGGTCTTTATTCTATCACCATTTGGGTAGCTCTGATCTGATCGTATGTGGAATAATTCTCTCTTGTGTTTCTCCTCTTTCTGTCAGGTCTTTTAGGGGTGGTAAGTCATGCTGGGAAAGAAACAGAGGCCTTGCCAAAACATAAGCCATCTCCATCGGCCCCCTCAAGATGTTGCAATCCCACAGAAGATCCGTTCTCCTAAGTCAGGTGACATTAGCCTGGAAGTCTTTAACAGCTCTACTCCAGAGCTTAAATACATCCACAAGCTCAGGCGGGATAGAAGAGCCTACAAAGCAGATTCCCACGATTCCCACGGAGGGGAAGGAGAGACAAATACCTTCATCCCTAGAGCTGCAGAGAGCCCCCCGCCCCCATGCTGTCCCAGTCTTTCCCAGGTCTGGAACACCTCCAAAGCCATCTTCTGCTGCCTGATCACCTGTGGGAGCTGCTTCAAGGACTGCCGAGCCAGCATCTCCTACAACAGCACCCTGACGGAAGACGGGAAGAACCAGGAGTGCAACGGGCATCCCACTAGCAGTCCGGCCAACAGCTCCCCCAATGAAAAGAACGGGAGCCAAACTGGGAAGAGTACAATGGGAAGCAGCTTTAGCTACCCTGATGTGAAATTGAAAGGGGTCCCACTTTATCCAAACCGGAACCCCGGCTCTGCCACAGACTCTGATTCATGTTACAAGGAACCTTTGCCAGAGAAGTTCCCTCCACACAGCATTGAGAAGCAGCCTGCCCCTGCTAGCCACCGGAGCTCTGAGGAACATTATTCCTTCCACGAGTCCGATCTCGAGTTTGGTGAGCTGAACAGCTCCATGTCCAGTAGGGAGATCGACGGCCTCATCTTCAGGAAACTCACCGAGCTTTTCAGCGTCCACCAGATCGACGAGTTGGCCAAGTGTACCTCTGACACGGTCTTCCTGGAGAAGACCAACAAGATCTCCGACCTCATCAACAGCATTACTCAGGACTACAATTTGGATGAGCAAGATGCCGAATGTAGGCTAGTCCGGGGCATCATACGTATCAGCACACGGAAAAGCAGGGTCCGACCCCGTGTCCCTGCCCCAAATCTCCCAGGTTCAGGGGAGATCACCAGCCGAGTCAACCCACTTCATGGCGGCAGTGAGACTATGCTGGCATCCGTCCTCCCTAGTGAAGAAGGTAGGCGTGAACTTCAGTTTTGGGAACATGCAGGGGTGGGATTCAAATTTTTTAACAACCGGTTCTGTGGCTGTGGCTTAGGTGGTGGGTGTGGCTTAGGTAGTAGGCGTGGCTTGGTGGTCATGTGACTGAGTGGACATGGCTTGGTGGTCATGTTATTGGGTGGGCATGACCAACTCAATATCACTCACATCGAGGCACGCATCTCCTCGCTTGGCCTCTCAAAACTGTGGGGATGCTGCAACAGTCGTAAGTGTGAAAAATGGTCATAAGTCACTTTTTTCAGTGCCACTGTAACTTTGAATGGTCACTCCACACAAGCAAAGTAGCAGCAAAGGAGGGGAAAACAAACTTCAGAGAGGTTCCTGAGACAGGAAGTCTAGTCCTGCCAAGAATGTCATAAGGGTTAACGGAGAGGCAGTTTCTGTCAGCAACACCAGAATGTTTCCTTCCTGCCTTCCATACAGGTAATTTCTTCTAACAACGGGTTCTCTGAACTGCTTACTATGTTAACAACCAATTCTAGCGAATAGGTGCAAACTGGTAGAATCCCACCCCTGGGAACATGGTACCAATTGGGGGAAACCAAACACACATCACAATTTGGAGTGCCATATATAGGGCAGTGCTGAGTACAGGTAGTCCTCGACTTACAACAGCTTGTTTAGTGACCGTTCAAAGTTACAGTGGGCCTGAGAAAAGTGACTTGTGACTGTTTTTCACACGACCATAGTAGCATGCTCGTGGTCACGTGATCAAAATTCAGATACTTGGCCACCAACTCGTATTTATGACGGTTGCAATTTCCCGGAGTCATGTGATCACCTTTTATGACCTTCTGACAATCAAAGTTAATGCTATATTGATATAGCAACAGAAATTTTGGGCTTGATTGTTGGTCGTAAGTGGAGGACTATATGTGTTACATGTGAAACACATCTAAGTCTTTCTCTTCTACTTCAATCAAATCTCTGTAAGGCATATGAATAGAAAAACTTCTCGGCATAACTTTTCACTAAAAATTACATCTTCCAGATCAGGGGTCTCCAACCTTGGCCATTTTAAAACTTGTGGGCTTCAACTCCCAGAATTCCTCAGCCAGCTCCAGATGTCCCAAAGGTGCTTTTTCAAGAGGCAGCTGGACTTTCTGTTTTTTTTTTTTCTTTGAAGATGTTTCACTTCTCATTCAAGAAGCTTCTTCGGCTCTGACTGGATGACTGAATCCTTCCATTCTCTATCACCCAGTCAGAGCTGAAGAAGCGTCTTGGATAAGAAGTGAAACATCTTCAAAGAAAAACCAGAAAGTCCAGCTGCCTCTTGAAAAAAAGCACCTTTGGGACAGCCATGACCTGGATGGCTGAGGTTCTTCAGAGACATCCTTCAGATGTGTTAAGCTACAACTTCCATTGGACTCAACCAGCACAGCTGATGGGAAAATCATAGGCTGCCATTTTGGAGATGCCATTTATTCGCAGGGTGCCATTTTGAGAGAGGCTAAAGGAAGCACATGACTTTAAGGGTGAGGCTGGCTGATCATGTAGCCCTCCACATTTCTCATGTCACACCTAGAGTAGCTGGGAGTGGGGTGCTATTTCCTCCCTGATCAAGTCAGCAATACCCATGTGGGGCCATTTGTTACCCTACATGCATAATCATTCACAAAATGATTCTTAGATTTCCCTAGCTTTATACCTAGACGTCACGTATGTAATTAAAGCACACTGCCTCAAATTCTAGGGGGTATTCATCTCAGTAGAAGACTGCTCTTTTCTGCAAGAAGGATTTTGCATATATTCAAAAATTATCACTTGCTTCCCTGGAATACAAAATACAACCTAGGAGAGCAGCAACGTTTCTGAACAGCTTTAGCTGTCTGGGTGAAAGTATCGTCCCACCACAAGCTATGGTGCCCAGGCAGAAGCTGGCATGGAATGCCTGGGACCAGGCACTGCCTGCATGGATCGAAATGATAGTTCAGAGAAGCAGTGATGATGGCAGCCCTGAGAGGAGGTGATGGCTGGGGGAGGCATGAATGGGAATATGGATCTCGAGGAAGATCTTTCATGAGGGCCTCATTCCAGAGGTGGTATTCTGGAGAACCGATAGCGGACATTTTGTGTAGTTCAGAGAACTGGCAAATACCACCCCTGACTGGCCCCACCCCCATCTATTCTCTGCCTCCCGAGTCCCAGCTGATCGGCTGGGTCTTCTTTGGTTGCCCTGCACAGGAGAACGGAGCTGGAAAGCAGGTTAGTGGGGTGGGGAGGGAATGGAGATTTTGCAGTAACCTTTCCCTGCCACATCCACCAAGCCACACCACGCCACCAAGCCACGCCCACAGAACTAGTAATATATTTGAAAAATATTTGAATCCCACCACTTTTTCATTCCCCTGACAAAACAAAGGAAAACAGGGCTCTGTTCTCTCTGGCACCCCAAACAGAAATAGCCATGGAAACCTAGATTCCATATCTCAGTGATGGGGGTGAGCAGTTTTGCAACAGAGAACTGGGACGCTGTAGGTAACCCACCTCCCTCGGGATCCTCCAACACAGGAGATAAAACGTTCTCAGGCAAAGGGCAACAGACTGCAATGTTCCTTCCTCCCAGAGTAAAAAGGGACTGAGCCAGAGGTGGTGGCATTCTGACCAGTTCTGGAGAACCGGTAGTGAAAATTTTGAATAGTTTGGAATACCACCTCTGGCTCCCAACCCCATCTCATCTCTGCCTCCCAAGTCCCAGTTGATCAGCTGGGTCTCCTTTTGTTGCTCTGCACAGGAGAACGGAGCTGGAAAGCAGGTTAGTGGGGTGGGGAGGGAATGGGAATTTCCTCCTTTCTGATCAGCCTCCCTCCCCTGCCACTCCCACTAAGTTACACCCACCAAGCCATGCCATCCCACGCCCGCCAAGCCACACCCGCAGAACCGGTAGTAAAAAAGAAATTTGAATCCCACCACTGGGATCCCCAAGGCAAAACAATGATGGGGGGAGTAGGGCTGATCGGAGAGGAGGTTCGTTTAGGGTCCCGTGAAACATTATACAATTGAAAAGAAGGAATGGCATTTGAAGCTGCAGGCTGACTGTTGTTTTTTTGTGTGCTCTGAGAAGAAATGCCCTTCTGCAAAAAATACCCTTTTCCTTCAGCTGGGAACTACGCTTGCACCAGCAGACTTTTGAATGCTACCAGTACCAACCACAATTGGGACTGGCAACTTGGTCACTAATCAAAGTGGTCGCTGAGTGAAACCATATCTGTGCTGTTATGATCTTACTTCAGCTTTCCTTTGCTTTAGGAAATTGTAAGTGTGAGGTTTGGTTGCAAAGTTGCTTTTTATCACTGTTGTCACCATGTACGGCCCCTAAATGAGACAGTCACTAAATGAGGACTATATACAGGTAGTCCTTAACTTACAACAATTCATTTAGTGACCATTCAAAGTTATGACACTGAAAAAAGGGACATATGACCATTTTTCACCCTTATGACCATTGCAGCATCCCAGTGTCACGTGATTTACATTTGGATGCTTGACAACTGATTCACATTTATGACAGTTGCAATGTCCCAGAGTCATGGGGTCCCCTTTTGCAACCTTCTGACAAGCAAAGTCGGTGGGGAAACTTAACCACCATGTTACTAATTTAAGAACTGCAATGATTCACTTAGCAAATGTGGGGAGAAAAATCGTAAAATGGAGCAAATGAAGCAAATCACTTAACAAATTTCTCACCTAACAACATAAGTTTTGAGCTCAATTGTGGTCATAAGTTGAGGACTACCTGTGCATATTTTACAGTCCCATCTGGTGCCCACCCAGATAAACAGTTTCTTCCCTGGAGACCTTGAGTGGCTCAGGGAGCAAAATCTATTGCTCTTTGCAAAGCATTCTTCTGTCTGACATGCATAACTGATCCAACATTTTTGTCACTTTTGTTGACACCCTCGGGTAAATCCAGAAATATGTAACATGACTCACCTGAGTTGAGGCGTCTATTCAAATGTCAACCTTTCTGCTAACTGCCTTTCAGATCTACCTGTTCAGATATCGGTAGAAACTACAGCGGATATGCAAGCCAGAAACATGAGGCAAGGTATCTACAACGCAACAGGTGAGTTTTCTTGGCATATTTTAGGGTGTTGGGGAGCTTTGTTTGGGGTTTGAGGGTTTATGTCTGTTGGCCCATGGTTGCTTTCACAAAAGAAATGGGGCGATGGGAAAACTTACAAACATCTGCAATTTCACCTAGTGTAAGGAAGAACTAATGGGTTTCTACCAAGTTATTGCACTGATTTATACTGGATTGATTGATTGTGCCTTCAAGTTATTGTTAACTCCTGGTGATTTCCTGAACAAGGTCCCTGACCTTTTCTTGGCAGGATTTCAGAAGTGATTTGTCATTGCCTGTTTCTTCCTAGGGCTGAAAGACAGTGACTGGCCCAAGGTCACCCAGCTAGTTTCATGCCTAAGACAGAACTAGAACTCCTGGTCTCTCAGTTTCTAGCCCAGTGCCTTAACCACTAGATCATACTGGCTCTCTTTTTAAAAAAAAATACAGTGCAATAATAGTTATGTGTATTGGGAGAGTGAGACTGTCTTTCTGCATTTAGAAGGAAGTCTTTATCTGGCTTTGGTTGTAGAGAATTTACTGTCGCATTTTTGCAAGCTATGGTGGGCTGCTTCCTCTTCTCCATCTCATGCAATTATTTATCTGACCATTAAAGGTGACCTTCATTCAGCTAGTTTAGATGTGGAGGTAAACCCCCTACCCAAATTCCTAATGCATTTTATGTTGCTTTTGAGGTCTCTGGCCCATCCGGAATTATATACACAAAATCCTTTTTGGAGCTCACTGGAACAGGATAAAGCAATGGGGTAGTTCTGTTTTGCTTTATAGAAGTGAAGACCCGTGTTCCTTTGTGAAGACTTCAAAGCATTGTCAAAGTGAAGCTCCCCTTCAGAGCTTTGCACAGGCTTACACTATAGCACTCATGCTGAGCATCCAGGCAGATCTATGGGTATTGGCTATCATGAACTGAACATCCTTTTGGTGATCCAGCTGTGTCGTAATTCTCAAAAATGTGAGCCATAGAAGAGAATATTTATAGCTCAAGGTTGAACTGTGGGTTGATTTTCTTCCCACATATCAAAATATGTATTTCCTGATATTAACCCCATCAGGGCATAGATAGTCCCCTTTGGTAGATCCTGGGACACCTTCATTTGCAAGAATATTTTTGGTTCAGGGGTGAACTGTGGGGTCCTCGGTGCTCCCTGAGCTTGGTGGTTTTCTTTCAAACATTTCATTACCAAGCTAGGTAACATCATCAGTGCATTGATGATGTTATCTAGTGTGGTGATGAAATGTCTGCAAGAAAACCACCAAGCTCAGAGATCACCAAGGACCCTGCAATTTGAACCATGCCAAGAACAATTCCCTCCCTTCCTCCCTTTCTCCTTTTCTCTAACTAAACACCACTTGGATGAAACAAAGTTATAAATGGAATACTAGAGATGTCTAGGGAGATTCTCAGTCCTTCAGGTCATGGTTCTTCCAAAGGTGCTTTTTCAAGAGGCAACTGGACTTTCTGGTTTTTCTTTGAAGACGTTTTGCTTCCCATCCAAGAACCTTCTTCCGCTTCTTGGATGAGAAGCCGAATGTCTTCAAAGAAAAACCAGAAAGTCCAGTTGCCTCTTGAAAAAGCACCTTTGGGACAATACTAGAGATGGTTCAACATTGCTAATTAGTTCAAAGGTGGAACCAGTTATCTAAGAAAGTGGTATCCTCTGTCCATTGAATGTAGTATATTTAAGCATAGCCTGGATAGACATTTGGTAGGACTGCTTTGATTTAGTTCCCTAAACTGAACAAGGAATTGGATGACATGGTCTAATGGCCAGCTTTTCATTTCTGGGATGGCAAGGCTAGAGGATAAAGTCTGATGGCTTTGCTGTTGACTTCAGTATGTGTTTTGTTCGTGCATTCATATGACCCTTTAGTGTGAATTCTCTACGCATTCCTTTATCAAGGAACTCAGAAAAATGAGACACCCCATCAAACTTGGATAGATTTTCACTTGTTTCAATATAGAGTTCCCTCACCTTGACACTTGAAACTTCTGGTATAAAAGAGAGAAAGTTTGTGTGTGGGCCTTCAATTATCTATTTGTTTATGGCCATGCTCACGATCATTCATGCTTTTTCACTCTCTCTTGGAATACTGCGATGCACTCTAAATCAGGGGTCGCCGACCGTTTGGACCTCAAGGACCACCAAACTCAAAATTTTAAATCCTGTGGATCACTAATATGAATTTTGACTGACGGTGGCTTGCTGACGGTTTCCCAGGGTCTCTGCAGAAAGCAGCAGAGACCCTGGGAAAATCCCAAACAAAGTCTGCAGGAAAATTCTGCACCCCATTTTCCTACTGATCGATCATTCTTTATTTGGGATCACAGGATACCGTCTCCAGCTCCATTCTCAGGAGGGGGAATTGAGAGAGAGAGACTTTTGGCTTCATGCAAAGAAAGCAGCAGAAGCAGCAGAAATCTTCCTTTCTCTCGCCCAAACTCCACCAGAAATGAGTCTTTGTAACACTTGTGCCAACGCAGCCTCTTGGAGCAGGATGCCTTGCAGGGTCCCGAAGACTCATTTCTGACAGAGTTTGGGGGAGAGAAAGACTTTTGCTGCTTTCCTTGCGTGCAGCCAAAAGCAGCAGAAGAAAGAAGTATAAAGAAGCAGCCTGGTGGCCAGGCCCGGCGTGTGGAGCAAGTGGGGCAAGTTTCCTCCCCTCCACCCTTTCCCCCCTCCCCTCACTACCTCGTGTTGTTCGCAAGCCTTGTGTTCCCAAGGGCCATGGGGGTGACATTTCTCTGCGGACCACCAAAATTTTCTCGCGGACCCCCAGTGGTCCCCAGCCCACTGGTTGGCGAACACTGCTTTAAATGGAGCTGCCCTTGAAGACTATCCATAAATGTCAGCTGGTCCAGAATGCAATGATGGGGCATCAGTCTTCCTGTGTAACGTCTCTGCTTTAGAAGCTGTGCTGGTCACCAGTTTTCTTCTAGGAGCAATTCAAAATATCACTTGCCGCAGCGGTGGGCTTCAAAAATTTTAGCAAAGGGTGCTCTGCCCAGTTGCTGGATGGGCGTGGCCATGGTGGGCGTGGCCTAGTCGGCCTTCTGCACCATGACGGGGGGGGCGTTTTTGCCCTCCCCGGCCTCCGGAGGCTCTCTGGAAGTCGGAAATGGACACATTTCTGGCCTTCCCGAACTTCCGGGAGACCCGTTTTTCACCCTCTCCAAGCCTCCCTGTGTGCCCTGCACTTACCTGCATCCAAAACAGGCAACCTGGGGACTCCTGGGAGGGGCAGGGTGGGTGGAGCCAGCCAGGAGTGGGATTTGGGGCTTCTCCGAACTGCACAGAATCTTAGCTAGGGGCTCTCGCAAACCCCTGCAAACCCCCAGCAGCCCACCCGATTGTCCCCTTTAAAGCCTTTCAAAGTTTAGGACCTGAATATCTCTATTTCTTTCGGTGGCATCTGCCTGTCTAATAAGATTTGGAAAAGTGGGTGATTCCCAAATCTCTCTTTTAAAGGACTGGCATCTTCAGGGACTACAGCCTCAGCCACAATGTCCTTTGGAATAGCACGTAGATACCCTGAAAACTTATGACACCCCCCCCAACCTGTTGATTTTTAGAGATCCATCCCAAATGTGGCTTTTTAAGACTACCTTAGACAGGGAGTGCCCATTGATGTAATTCTGGACATTGCTTTGGTTGTACTGCATGTGCTGGGATTTACTGCTTTGGGGTATTAAAAGAACACATAACTATGTGCCAAGAATATTTTTGAGCTACCTTTTAATTTAAGCCCTCATAAACTTCTGAAATAGCACAGACATAATGATTATTTATTTATTTATTTATTTCTATGTGACCACCTATCTCACCAAGCGACTCTGCAGTGAAGGAAATTTAAAAAATAGAAGAGCTAAAATAATACAAACATTAAAATATAGGGTAACTAAGAATAAAGCATTCGTGTAGGCAAATGATTTAATTTAAACGATACAGATAGGAAAGACAGCTATGGAAATTTTGCCCTAAATAAGACGGCTCTGGGTTAGGTCTTTACTAAGTTATTTATTTATCAAATTTATATGACCATCCATTTCATGAAAAGTTATTCTAGGCAGTGTACAATAAACAAGGGATAAAATCAAACATGTTAAACACGGTCATATTGAAACACACAAACAAAACATTTGATCAGCAAGGAGCCATCTCAAGAATCATATATCCCTTGTTGCTCTGGTTGTTAAGTGAATCATGGAGTCATTAAATAAATCCAGCTTTCCTCACTGACTTTGTTTGTCAGAAATGCCCTGGGAAGCTCATAAATAATAATCACAAGATCACAGGATGCTGGAACCATCTTAAATACAAGCCAGTTGCAAAGTGCCTGAATTTTCATCATATGAGCATAAGGACAATGCAATGGACATAAGTGTGAGGATTTGGCTGTAAATCACTTTTTTCAGCGTCATCATAAATTTGAACAGTTATTAGACAAATGGTCATAAGTTAAGGATTACCTGTAGCTATCATGACATACAAAAATATTAGTTTTGAAATCATGGTTGACTGGGATATTTGCCTGTTCATTCGAAACAAAATAAACAACTCAAAAATGAATTAAATCCATTTGAATAATTCTAATACTGGGTCTTAACCATGAACAAGTGCCCATATACACAAATAACTAAACATAACACAGTTTGTAATATATATATATATACAAACTATAAAATGTAATATTATTCTTTTCCTGATAGCCGTGGAGAGAGGCAAATGGTATTCAAGGTATGAACATTTTGTCCTTGGCTTGCTGTAATGAGGTGCTTCAGGTTTTGCTGGCTTCTGATGTTTTTTAAGGCATCTCAGAGCCTTAAGGGCTAGGAACTTGTCGTGGCTTTTTAATGCCATCTGAAATTCTCCAATTTCTAAATTATGTTATTCAGTGCCTGATAACCAAAACATTCAAGGGAAGGGGGAGGGTGTTGTAAGAATAAATGAATATAATTATGCATTATAAACTGTGGCCTTTAAGGGAGACTATTGTGCCAACTGGGAAGTAAACAATCCTTCAGATTTTACTAAAAGGAAGAATCTAGCCCTCATGGCTGCTTATTTCTAAGAGGGCTCATTGCTTGCCTGGGACTCTGAAAGGTTTCCGTGTTACTACAGTATATTCCTTTTCATAAATATATTTCCCCTTTTAAAATGATTGAGAGAATGCCTCAGCAGCGTGGGGGCTTATATAGCTTTTGTTATGGTCCTGAAGCCACCCCAATGAAGTCAGGTGAGTAATAGAGCAGAGCGAGCATAAACAACAAGGCTCAAACCTGTGTAAAACATATAGGTATATGATCAGCCAATTAGCTAATTCTAAACTTCCGAATTCGCTTTGCGCATTCAGATTGAAGTCAGGGCGCAGTCTTCATCAAAAGCCTTCTTTTAGCACACCCCAGGGTTCTTCATTCCAAGTAAATGGAAAAACAATTTTGCCATTCACGTTTCAACTACAATTGAACACAGTCAGAAAATAAGCAATGGATTTTGGTTTTTTTTTAAAAAAAATAGAGATTAAAAATTAATAAGGAAAAAATAATTTTAAAAATGGAATGTATTTTTTACTATTGCCCCTTGATATAGGGCAAAATAGAACAAGAGGAAAGGATTCTAATTATTGAAACCATCATTTTTAACTGTGTTTTATCTAGCTGTAAGTATTTTGCCCAGTCCTGTTTTGAAAAGAAGTCACCGTCCCAAGTGGCTGTTTTACACCTTACCTACTGCCTCTTTGGGGAGTTGAAGCACTTTATGCTACATCAGGGCTCTTCAAACTTAGCAAGTTTACAACTTGTGGACTTCAATTCCCAGAATTCCTGAGCTAATATGACTGGAGGAGGAATTCTGGGAGTTGAAGTCCACAAGTCTTAAAACTATCAAGTTTGAAGATCTGTGTGCTACATCAACAGTGCTCTTTAGCTAGGTTTGAAGGACATGTAATCATGATAAAGGGGGCAAAACATTTCCCTGTTGTTCCCAAGAGAATCACAGGCATGTCTTCATGTGCTTCCCAGGAGTTGAGACCAACTCCTCCACTATTTCTATTCTCCACTATTTCTAGAATGGCTTGGTTGAGCTACACCCTCTCAGCTCTCAGCTGGACGTGGGAATGGCTGGGTGAATTTCTTTGGTTTAACATGGGCTCTTGGGGCAGGTATAAACAGGGCTAGATATCCATAACTGCAGTGTGGTTAAAGTTGGCTGAGAATGTGCGCTTGTCATCTGTCTGGTTTTCAAGGCTACATCCTGCTCTCTTGGCTATCTATAGAGATATATGTACAATGGGAGGTTGATGGAATGCGGTTCAAGGTCTTGGAGTTTTTAAGGCTGTAGTGTTCTTTCTCTTGACAAGCAGAAATGGGATTTTGAAAATGCTGAGAAGGATTTTTCTTTTAAACAAAAACAAGAAGAACCATTTTCTCAGCATCCCCAATTCTTGAATGCAGCGCATGGATTACACTGCTAAAAGAACAGAAACCAAGGAAGGAACTCTATATCTTTCTTGTCCATTATTTCAACTGTTTAAATTTGTTGGAATTTGTAGCATTTGACTTTTTTCCCTCCCCACTTGCATGGGTGGCTTCCTGTCCTGTTGTGTGTGGATGCTTGTGTGGATGATTTAAAAAGAATTTTATGTGAGATGAAAAAGTTACAAAAACAGAGAAAAGAAGAAGAAAAAAAAAAGAATGGGAAAAAGTGAAGGTCTGCAGAAAGCAAAGAAAGAAAAGATATTTAAGGAAGCCATGTCTGACCTCCTTTTTAGCACTTATAAACCTGATAGTTACCATCTAAACCCTCGCAAACGCCATATCTTAGTTCCCTCCTTCTCATAAACAACCCATTTTAATCAGTGAATCCCAAAATCAACAGTTCATATGCATCCATTTCCAGCACTTCCTGTCTTATTTTGCAGGGAGGGGGGAGCAGCTAAAAATTATAGCAGTGTCACATGTCCATTCTACAACAGTCGTCTTCACGTTCTAGATTGTAAAAGAGTTTTATGCAAATCAGTACAGTTTTCAAATTATTCACAAAATTGAGACATTTTCATTGGGGCGTGGGAATTATATATGCAACCGCGGTTACAAAATATTGTTCTATCTTATCCTTTCGGCATGCTTTATCCAGGGGTGGGATTCTACCGGTTCAGACCTGTTCTATATAGAACCGGTTGTTATGATTCTGCGCAGTTCTGAGAACTGGCAAATCGTGCCCCTAGCTGGCCCCCCCCCTCCCCCCCCTGCCCGGTCAATCTTTATCGTGCATGCGCAGCATCACGTGCATGCCCGACATCGATGACCGCATTCTCCCCCTCCCAGTCACTCCTTAAGGTTTTTTTTTCCTCCCAACGACCAGCTGTTCCGATGATCAGCTGTGCCGGCATCCCCCTCGCTGTCTTACTACTTCGTCCACGGGGCTTCCCTGAGGCCCAGGAGGCAAAGGGGGGCTTGCAGGCGGGGCTGCGCCCCCTGCGCTCCATTCTTTGCCTTCCTGGGGCCCAGGGAAGCCGCCTGAGAGCAAAAATGCCCCCCCTCGGGAGGCTCCCCTGAGGCCCAGGAGGCAAAAACAACAATGGGGGAGTGGCGTATGCTGCAAAAAAAAGAGAAGAAGCCGCACCCACCCAGTCACATGGCCATGGCCACCTAGCTACGCTCACAGAACTGGTTGTTAAAAAATTTGAATCCCACCCCTGGCTTTATTCTAACTTTTATTTCTTGTTTGTATAACTCTTTGCTTCCTGTTTCCTCCCGTTCCTTTGCAGGATCCCCATTAAGTAGAGGGTCTTCTTTCCAAGATACGGAGACAGAGTCCTCTGGAGCCCCTCTGCTTAGAGTGTATTGCTGAGAAACGTGGACCTGGCAAATCCCCAGAAGCAGTGAGGCCTTTAAGTCAGCCTCACTTAGAGACCAGTTCAGAAGCGATGGACAACGGAGTCTGATGCAAGCCATTCTCAATTGTGCCTTCCAAGGAATACTTGATTTCTCTTGCCATTTTCCAAGGTTGACCCTAGTGTAGACTTGCTTTAAGGTGACCGTTGGTGCTTTTTGACAATTTCCTAGGCCCAGGGGTCTCTGACCTTGGCAACTTTCAGACTTGTGGACTTCAACTCCCAGAGTTCCTTAGAACTTCTCAGTTGAAGTCCACAAGTCTTAAAGTTGCCAAGGTGGAAGACCCCTGGCCTAAGTCCACAAGCTTTGCTGGCTGAGGAATTCTGGGAGCTGAAGTCCACATCTTAAAGTTGCCAAGGCTGGATACCCCTGTCCTAGGCAATGTTGATCTCTGCTTCAGAAGTGAACAGAAATGATGTAGCAGTTACAGCTTTTTGCACATATCCTTTCCTTCATCCATTCTGCTCTCCCCTGACCCTTGTCAAACAAGAACTGACCTCTGCATTTTCTTTTCCACAATGAAAAAGATCTTTCTTCTGCCTATCAGGCTTATTCATCCAACAGACTTATCTGTTACTGATTTGCCAATAATTTTCTCATTTGGAATTCAGACTTGATTGTTCTCATGCAATTCCTCTAGGCCTTAAAATATCCACTCTTCATTGTAAATAGCTCACCAGAACTCTGACGATGAGACGTTGTTGATTTAGGAATATGACAATTCCTCTGTTGAAATCTTCAGAAACTCTTGCTGTCTTTCCTGTAGTTTAATTTTATTCTTTTTTCTTTTCCCCTGCCTCATTTGAACCATGGGGGGTGCCTAGATTGGAAATGCAAAGTTTGAAAGGGAAGCTGTTACTGCGTCTTAGGGTATTTTGATTCCTACTGTGCTTTGGTGGTGTTATTTTTTTAAAGCAAATAAAATTATATTTAAACAATGAATGTTGAAAAGTCACCCCCTTTGTCTCATACAAAGGGGCTAATTTAATGGCTAAACATGGTGAGAGCTGTAATTCCAACAAAACTGGAGAACACACCAGATACGAGAAAGATAATTTAAAGGATGGCATCTGAAGAAAGGAATAAAATGCTCTCCTTTTTTTTTGTAAATAAAGATTTTGCACAGCGCTCTAGTGGTTGCTTCTGGCTTCCACTGGGAAATAAAATGTGACTCATGTATATAAAAATGTCATTTGGCATCAACAGTATCGCTATAAAGAAGTGAAGTATCATTAATGTGATCTTACTTGAAAGTTGTTTAAGAAATATTGCCTGGTTCTTTCTCTACCAAAACGATACAGCCCATAAAATGTGTCTTACAGGAGCAAACTAACTCTAAATAGTCTAACATGTGGTTTTCCTGATGTAGGAGGTCTATGGCTAGTTGACTTCCTCCTTGCTTCCTACTTGTTGGTATTTAGAGGTAGATCATCTCATCCCGTTTTGGGGCCTTCTGGGCCTCCGGGAAGCCTCCTGGGGGTGCGTTTTTGCTCCCAGGAAGCTTCCCTGGGGCCCAGGAAGGCAAAAAATTGAGAGGGCGGGGGGTGCTGCACCTCCCTCTATTTTTTGCTTTCCTGGGCCTCAGGGGAGCTTCCTGGGCGAAGCAATAAGTAAGTGAAGGGAATCCTGGCACAGCTGATCATAGGAACAGCTGATCGTCAGAAGGGGGGAAATACCTTAAGGAGTCACTAGGCGGGGAAGAATGCAAAAAGCTATGTCGGGCATGCACGCAATGTTGCACATGTGTGATAAGGATTGATGGGGAGGGGAGGGGGGAGGGGCCATCCAGGGGCACGATTTGCCGGTTCTCTGAACTATGCAGAATCATAACAACTGGTTCTATAGAATTGGTCCGAACCAGTAGAATCCCACCCCTGCCTTGAAAGGGATTTGACCTGTGAACATCTTCATTGCCAGCAATTCTTAACACATTTGAAAATACTGTAAGACAGTCAGTAGTCGTTCCAACTCATCAGTAGAAGCTAGCAAAGAACGGCATTCAGTCGCTATTTCTCTTCATCCATGCTTTAACTCACGTTGCATTATTGCTTGGAAATTTAAACAGCTGAATGGTTAGCTAAATGTCTATGGAGATTCTCAGTCATCCATCTTCATGAGCTGAAGAAACTTCTTGGATGAGAAGCAGAACGTCTTTGAAGAAAAACAAGGAAGTCCAGTTACCTCTTGAAAAAGCACTTTTGGGACAGTTGAATGATTACTGTGAGGAGAAGATGCAAAATAACAAAGCTGCTATACTTCTTTGCACTTGGAAGACCTTACCTTGCCTGACTCTTTTAGGAAAGGGTAAGAGGAGCTAACATGAACTTAGGAAGCAGATGAGTAAAGTTTTCACCAGTGGGAAAGCAGCCCACTCAGAAACCCTGCAGGATTCATTGTTTGCAAACGGAAACATTACTTTGGGGGGGGGGGGGGGTATTTAAGATCACTGCAGCTTCATACCTAAAGCGAGATTAGAATTCACAATCATCTGGTTTCTAGCCTGATGCTGCTACACCAAGCTGGCTCTGTAATGTAGCTGGGCCAGAAATAATTTGATTCTAGCATCAACACAGACAATCATATGGTATTGTCTGCTACTTCTGGAGTGATGGATAGATTGCTATTTTGGTTTGAAGATTTGGAGGTGATCAGTGCCAATTATTTGCAGGGCTGAACTGGGGAAGGATGCTGGACCCTACACTTCTCCAGAGAAAGTCAGAAACCCACAACAACTCCACTATCAAACCAAGGATGAATAAAGTATTAAATATGAACCTCGATTTTAGCAACAATGGCCTGAAGTGGTGACTAGCAGTTAGTTACCTTTCATGAAGTTAACATGTCTTTTCTTTGAAAGTTTGTTCTGAAAAAAATGGAAGTATTTTGGAGGGCCGGACACAACTTCGCAACTAAAAACAACAATTTAAGTTTTAGCAAAAAGAAAGAGGAATTGCCTATATAGTGCAGGCAAAAATGTGTATCTTCTTCAGGGACATGCTTTTGGGGAATTCAACGCTTTACAGTGCCACGGACTTGAAAAACCAGTTTTCTCCCTCTGTGTGGCTAATCACACACAGAGACACACAGAAAATGACCACTACTATCTCTGTTACTAATGTCTATGCAAAAAAGAATAATTATCCAAGTTTTTTCCATGACTGCCACCTTCTTGTCTAATGATAAAAGCACTAGATCCCTCTGATCAAATATTGATTGCTGACAGAATAGTGTGGAAGCCAGTAGGATTGTGCTCTCCTCCCAAGTGCTGAGTCTAACTGATCTCCTAGGCTACATGGGAACAAAACTGGAGGACTTACAACAAACTGCCGAGCTTAGTAGTAGCCTTACTTTTTTTCCTTTTCAAGGTTGCAGGGTAATGATGCATCCAGAGAGCAAAATGTTCAGGCACCAAGGCCTTGGCTTGACTCCATGCAAACAACCTGTTCTCTCTCTCCCACTACCATAAAAAAACAAACACATCCTATGAAAGTGGACTTCAACCTTAAGTCTAGCATAGTGTATTTGTCATTGCTGTCAGCTGCCAAAAGGGTGGAGTGACAGCAGTGATTTTTCAAGTTCAGGCTCTGACAAACAGAAGGGAGGCGATTTTGACTTAAATATCTCCATCAGGTAGACAATTCTCCCCGGAGAATGTCCAAATCGGGGGATGGGGATGAGGGATAGGCTGCTTTTTCTGTGCCTTAATCACATCAAGAGGACATTGTCCCCTAGGACATTCTTTTGGTCAACAACAAGTGAAAAATACACAATCTAGACTTTGATTCCCATGGACTCTTCAGAAAGTTCACCAGAAGAGAGGACTGTTCTGCCTTTTTCATGCTCTGGGAACAAAATGTTTTATTTTGTGAAATCCATTCTACCTCTGCCCTAGTCTAGGAGAAGGGTTTTAAGTTCCAGGAAGGACCAACTCCGCATGAAGGATCACGAATGACACTGAGGATCCGAGACACAAGGGCCAGTTTGACATCTCACCTTCCCAAAGTGGAGGAACAAATTAGCAGGACATTATAACAAAAGCTAGAGAAGTAAATATTTTACCCTGGGTTACACTAAAACCTTGTTTAGTCTTCGTGCTGTAAAGACCAGTGCCTGTTTGTACATAATCCTATAGTTTTGCTCAAAAGACCTTTCTTCTGAGTCTATATGTACAGGTAGTCAAAGCAAAGTATTTATGAAGGGTTCTATTAGCCAACCACCGCCAGATCTGTTGAGACCTAATACTTCTAGAATTCCCAGGTAGCATAGCTCAAAACAGCTACCTCTCTCACCTTTATGCATTAAAGGTCTGTTTATTAGAGGGTGTTGTAGAAAGTTAGCACCCGCCCCGCTCCTAGAAGAAAATATTCTAGGAAATATTTAAAAGGCAGAATATTATATTTTCCCTGGATGAGAAAAGGAAAAACATGTTTTTAAAGACAAAGAGCAGCTTCCTTCCCCCCCAACAGATATTTGATGCCCACTGAGCAGGGCCAGCCTATCTACCAGACAATTAGACTTTCAGCTCCAGAGTGATGGGATTAAGATATAACCCTCCAGTGCATAATAGGATTATCTATCAGCAGAACTCACCACATGACACAAACACCTGGGGACATTACATCACACCCTCAGGCTTCAACCAAACTTTGGACAACCTACAAAGTTAGCCATGACCCCTGCATAGCCCATGGGAGTCTGACAGCAACCACCTAGAATACATGCCCTTGCCACAGGAACAGGAAGCTCAAGGGCAAGGCCCAAGAGAGGGTTATTTATACATAACCCTCACGCTCCACTCCATGTGTTCAGCTGCATCAGGACCTCAAACCCATGTGGTCCTGTTCATCAATAACCCTCTTTCCAAACACCCTCCATCTTTCCAGTGTGTTTTTCCCCACTTGGAACTGAACCGGATGGATATTTCTTCCAACAGTGTCTCTGTTTCTTTTAAAATTGCATTCAAATTATTGTTCCCCTGCCAGGAAATTCCTCTTTTTAAAAAACGTTTAAATTCCTCCAAATGAAATTGAGAGATGGATTCAGCATGTGTATCCTTTGAGGAAGTATTCTTTTGGTTTCTGAATGTTTCCCATTATCAAAAAGGACAATAATTCTGGTCATCATTGGATTTACTTGGATATTAAAAGGAAGAGAGTTTACAACTTTACAGATGAAAGACATTCCAGAAAGTATTAGCTTGATCTCACAGTCATGCTTTACACACCATTGTGGCTAAATCAAAACAAAGCACTTCATGTTTTGTGTATTATGTGAACCAGGCAATTGTGTTAAAAGGTAAGGTAGCTGTGGAGAGGGCGGAGCTGGCATCATGACAATACGGCATGCGATCTTGGAGGTCTGAGATCGCTGCTGATATCTTTGCTCCTGGACAGTCCAAGTGGATCTAAACTGTCCCGAAGAGATGGTGAATGTAAAGAGCGCATCCTGTTGATCCCAGGGATACCACAAAGTCCCTGGTAGATCCAGGAGAAGCTCTTTTTGCCAGCGGCAAAGACGCAGCCATTAAAGCTGCTGAGGTTGGGACAGCTCCGAAACGAAAGAGAGAGTGTGCTGGTTTGGTGAGAACTTTTTCTTTATTTTAAGATTTGAAAGGACACCCTAAGGAAAAGAAAGAATTTGTAAAAGTTTTGACAGAATTGATTAAGCGGCGATTTTAAACAGGAATGTCAAAGTAATATTTTTATTTTATTTTTTCATTGCTGGATTTTCTACACATGATCTTATGTTTTGAAACTGGACTGTTTTTTTTCTCTTCTTTTTATCTATTCTTTTCTCCTTTTTGACTTTATAATATTTTAAGCCAGAGACTCCCTTTTAGTTATTTTTTTTTAAATCTTTTTCTTTTTTTAATTAATTCTTATATTTTACTTGGAAAAGGAGGGGGAAAGTGAAAGCTAAAGAAACTTTGTAACACTGCCAACTAGAGGCTTGGAAATATTCTATCTCTCTTTTGACCAG